GTAAACAAATAGGTCAGCCAAGGTGTATATTTGTTGCTGAGATTGCAGAAGATGACAAAAGCTATTAACAAAGAAATTTAGATGGTGTTAAAACAGGTTCAGAGGCTGAACAAACTTGATAATGATGATATCTTCTTCATCACACAGGCTGTAAACTCCAGCAAAAAGTTCTGGTTGTTCTTCCACCTCTGGACTTTAGTCTTGTTCCAGAACCTGAGTGTTGCGTACACATCGATTATACAGATGTGGCTAATTTGTGGGTAGAATATTGGTTTCTTGTCTCTCAGGCAGATGCACTCAGACTTTGAAGGATGCCTCCAATTAGTCAACTCTTATGACACACCTGTTTGGGATGGAGTGGGTCTATTCCTGTTTTCCCCACAATTGGGCTGGGACCCACACAGGAAAGATGATATCACTCAAGAGCTATCACTAGAATGACAATCCAACACATTCTGCCGCTCATCTAGTTAAAGTTTACAATGACATGATTCTTGAGCACTAGAGTTTGATTGCCTGTGGTAAATGGTTTATTTGATTTGTATAAACTTTCTTGTGGATTTTAGAGAGCTTTATGGGTTTCAAACTATGGAAGACTGTGGGGCTTCACCACGTAATATTCCCAAAGACAGCAGTAATACTGTAGCCAATCTTCATTGTGGAAACAGCACAAAATTTGATAAACCCCCATTCATCCATCTTGTGATGTAATATTTCTGCTTGCATCCCTGTTTAACTCCTGCCAAATTCTTGATCATCATGATATATATGCCTTGCTAAATGGCACAGATCACTGTCCCCAGTGACCTGCATCACTTCTGTTGACGATAGTCCTCCATGCCGCTACTTATCCTCACTGTCGTTTTTCTTTATTTTCTACTGCTAGACTTTCCAGACAAATATGATTCTTCTCTTTCTTACTAAAAAAAACCCCCCGACAAAGGCTGCGTCTCAGCAAAGCTAAATCCATACACACACACACATTAAATGCAAATGGCAAGCACCAAATGTGCCAACACAAACAGTCCAGCACAAGAAATTACTGGCTGTTTTTAGTTTTTTTTTAATGATAGGAGAAGAACAGAAGAGCCTGAGAATCTAAGGCTGCGTGGCTAGGGCAGTCGCCACAAACTGTGCAGGTTAGGGTTTATACCCCCCCCCCCCCCACAAAAACAGCTCCCATCACCTTATCAAAGAACTGTACCAAAGACTTCCACATCTGAGCCCTGCATTCTAAGTAGCAATTAATCTTTTACTTTCACTAATCTCTTGACAGAATCACTGCTAGTTACTCCGACAGTTCAAGGTATTTTTAACATTTATCACATAACCTCATCTCTGTTGTCTTCGGCTCTCCATAATTTGTCCATTCACATTCCAGGATTCTCCATCATTCAATGGAACAGGTTGTATGTTAAAATTTCAGTACTCACTTTCTGACATTAAATGGCAAGGAATAGGAAAATTTTTAATCTTCTACTTGGCCTATTCCACTTTTATTCTCTGTCAGATATCTACTATTTAATGTTGTTTGTACCAAATATTTTAATTTTTCTGTGTGCCTTGTTAACCATGTTTACTTTAGCAGTAGGCCCAGCAACATTGTGATTGGCCGTTCATTGATGCGTCTTAACCTTGCACATACACAGCTTTCTCTTACAGGGGTGTCAGGTTGCATAGTCTCCTACACTATCATTTGCGATATCCCGCGTTCCATACTAAACGATGTTACTGCCACTTTTAACGACCCCATAACATCTACAACTGGCCCTAACTCCAACACCTCTAGGGGACAGCCTTAGCCTAGGTTCCATGAGACAGTGCATTCTAACATGACACCCCTGTAAAAGAAAGTTGCGTGTGTGAAAGGTTAAGATGCATCAATGAACAGCCAATCACGGTGTCAATGGGCCCGAAAACGTGAATAGTTCCCTTTTTAAAAATTTAAATACTGTTCTTATCTAATGATTATTTTCTTAAATTATGCATTCCTTACTGCTAAAATCTGCTGTTGCTGATCTTTTCAGCTATCATTACTGTGACACGTGCATATACATACAAACACACAAGGAAGTTACTGAGGTGCGTCACAGGACAGGGACCTTAACTTCCAAACAAGCATGTCCTAAAAGGTAACTAATTAATGGTTTAAAATCAGATGTGGTAGGTTGAAAGGCAAAGCTATCAGTGCCCAGCTGTAAACCACAATACAACGTGCCAACCGCCATTCTAAGGGCAAACAAAGATTAAGAATTAAGCCTAGCCTAGCTGCACAGTCACCAGGTGAATTATTCCACTGACAGGTGGGGCTATTTTTCAGTGATTTAGGCTCAGGTTGACCTAGCTTAAAATGGGTGTCAGAAAATTTCTTGGGGAGATAAGCTACAAGCATTATATTGTCCACCTCGCCATCAAGCGCCAACTGATGAAATAAAAGATCATTTCCACAGCTGCAGGAAAAGATAAACGGATAGAGAATTACTAAACAGGCACTGAAATGGACTGAGAAAATGAGGATGCCCAAGACAAACCCTAAGATGTTGCTGAGAGGGACTGCAAAGTCCCACGAAACTAATCGAGAAGGCTAATCCATCAACAAATGACTGCAGAATGTAGCAGACATGCTGTTAATGGGCACAAAAGCAATTACATCTTCAGACGAACACAGAAGAAGAAATATTCTGGACTGGATTCCATTCATGACATGGAAAGGACTGCACAGAACAGAAGATAACTGAGGACTAGACTGAGCCCTATGTGATGTCAGGATGACGATGATGTAGGCCAAAGACACAGTTACATGCTTCTGTGATTCTCGTTTGTAATTGTAACACTGTCTTTTCAAGTCATGTGTTGATACAGGGTTTCTAGCCGCAACGTTCATTTGTGATTGTGATCATGTGAAGATGACCAGTTCTACTTTTCGTCTGGTGTGATATATTTTCATGGCAGGAAAAAGACAGTAGCAAACAGAGCAAAACCCTGTTGCATACAAACTATGGGGTCAATGGGGTAGATAATAATCAGAAGAAACTGAAATCCTCTACAGCTGGACTATTCAACTAAGTTTATTCAGAGACCAACATTTGGGGATCATCATGCCCCAGCACAGAAAGATCATTAATATAATACAACTGGTAATGATCTGCCGGCCACTTGCTAAGCCTTTACAAGCCAGATCTGGCCCGTAGGCTGCCAGTTGAATGGTCAAACTACAGAATAATTGAGAAAATAGTGTTGGTAGATAAAACAGATAATATCATACAAAGAACTGGTCATCTGCATCAGAAGAAGACAATTAGCATTCTTTGGAAATGCAACAAGCATAAACTCTAAGATATTATGTCACTAAGTAATGTTTAATGGGGCACAGAAACAGAAGAAGACCTAGAGATATTGGCAATCAACATGACAGGAGGCTGCGAACAAACATCATGACTGGCGTAACTCAGGAAAAGCTCAAAGTAGGAAAACGTTTACTGGAAATGTGATCCGCATCAGCTTCCACTGCCATTTACAATGCAAGATATATGTTGTTGGGAATGTGGTCCCTCTTCAAATCTCATTCTTCTTTACAATGGACAATACATGTTGATAGGAATGGAGTCTATTCAAATCTGCATTTCCCTCACAATGAAAATATATGTTAATGGGAATGTGGTCCACTTGCCCTTATAACAGACAATACACGTTGATAGGAATAAGGTCAGCTTCAAATCCCCATATTCCCTCCCTAGAATCGACAATAAATGTTGATGGGAAGCATGCAGTTCTCAAGTTTTCATAAATACTATGCTCTGTTTTTGTACGAGCAAACTCACATATTCATAACTCTACCAAATTGTTAACACATCAGCCAATTTAAATAATGTCGCAAATATTATGCTGCACAATTTATTCTCGAGCATTGTCTCTTGAGACACAACATTTCCCCATGAAAATCTCAAATTAACCTCATGACCCTTTGTTAACATAACATGGGAACTGCCCTCCTAAATGCCACAGCTTCTGCCAGTTTTAATAATCACATGTTCTGTTAAGTTCTTTATTTATATGTCTACCAGAATCTTATATCAGCAAGCCTTTAGCATCGATGAAAGTTGTTGTGAGGAAACAAATCAAAACAGTTCTGACTGAGGGGGTAACAGGCCAGAAAGTTTCTCTACCTGCACAGCAGGGTAGTGTTGGCATACGCTTTTGGTATTTTCAGGCGCAAAATTGCATGGACGCATATTTGTTTCCTACACTAAAAAACTTTAATATATGTGGTGAAGTCTGCTTGCCCCATACACCATATGTGGTGAAGTATGTCAGTCCCATAGAACATATGTGGTAAAGTCTGCCTCATAGAACATATGTGGTGAAGTCTGTCTCATAGAACAAATGTGGTGAAGTCTGTCTCATAGAACAAATGTGGTGAAGTCTGTCTCATAGAACATATGTGGTGAAGTATGTCTGTCCCATAGAACATATGTCCCTGAAGAGGTACGGTGAAAAAAGGCAGCCAGTAAATCGTACAATAAACTGTTTGTGGTCTCTATTTAAATGCACACCAGGAAAACATTTTTTTGAAACATCAACCAATCACAGAAAAGCTTCTCATTACAGAAAATCTACAGCTCCATTATTGTGCGAATTAACAAAACAATCATGTACAAATGAAATAAACAAAACAATTGACCATTATGAATAATAAAGTTAATTCTAATTCACATCATAACTGGCAACAAACAATGTACAAGTGAACCACCTATGTATATGACATTGTGGTTTATACTCCAACTAAATTATACATCCCAACCACAAAACTGCAATGCAGGACTTGAAAACATCCTCCTGTTATCAAAACATACACACACACACACAAAATATATAAACTGTGTTGTATAGTTTAATAGTTTATCAAAAACTGACTTTCCAGCATCTGCTCGCAATGGAATAAATTGTCATAATAGAAAAAGGAACAAAAACAAAAAACAACATCAGCTGCATTTGGAAGGTTAGTCTGCTAGCATGTTCTTGATTGCCCGGGCTGTGCTCTCATCTTGCAGATGTTTTGTTGTATATCTGAAATTTTAGGACAGCAATGGTTTCAAAAGTTAACTACAAAGATAAAATAGCAAATTACTGAGCTTAAAACAGCCTAGAAAAACCACAAAAATGTTAGGGCTGGTTCTGCAATGTCCTGTAAAGGATTCATTGATTCACTGCAATGTTGTATTATTATCTTCTTCTTCTTTGGATCGCTTGAAATAGATTATCTGTATCTGCAGTGTTGTCTCCGGTATGAACTTTATATGCTATTCTATTTCATACAGAGCTTATCCACAGCCTATTTCTCTACTCTATTCTATCTTGTGTAATCACGTTGGTATCACGGATGGAATCCAGTTTAGCTCCTTTGGCTTCTCTCAACATTTGCCTGAGGGATTTCTCTTAGACATCCTCGTTTACTCAGTCCTTCTATTTCCTATTCTAGTGCCTGTTTGGCGATTGTTCGTCTCCTGTAAAGGATATGCAACTAAAAAAGACCAATCATCATAATCAAGTATCTTGCTAACCGGCACAGACGACTATACTTTTCTAAATCTTGCAGTCTCCAACAGCATATCTAAGTTCCTGTCCCCCGTGTGGGTTCCGGGGCCCTAGTATGGGAAAACAAGAATAGACCCATTGCCTACCCAAAAGCATGTCGTAAGAGTCGACTAATTGGGAGCTTCCTTCGAAGTCTGTATCTGCCTGAGAGGTAGGGAACCAACAGTCTGCATACATATCTGTCAAACGGATGCACACGCAACACTCAGGTTCAACCATAACTTTTCGCCGGAGTTTACAGCCGGTGAACGTGAAGAAAAAGAAGAAGAAGAAGTTCATGTGTAGACACCTCTCTATGCTGTGGCAAAAAACTGCTAAGAATTATCTTCCATTCTCTCTATCCATGATTCTTTCTGGTTGTCACATGTTCAGATTTTCTTTTCTTATATTGGGTAAACAAAATTATGGTTCTATTTACTGTAAGTTATATTCATTTTTCTTTTAATAAATAACAAGGAATTGAAAGTAACATTTTGTAGAGGAACTGCTACATGATAATGATAGGTAATTGATGTAACATCCGTGAGAAAGATATTACGGCAACTGTGCTTCAGAGTTCCCGCGTCATTAGTGTCCTTTGGATATTTTCTCCTGGGAATTCAGGTGTATTCGGAATCAAACAGAGAGACAGACTGGTTTGTTCTGCATCAGTTAGTGATAAACCGATGCATAACAAGCTACATGTCATCACTGCGGAGGCACAAACATCACCACAGTCTTAAGAGAATATCGTAGTGGGGTGTTACTAGGGGATCAGGACGAAGCTCAACGCTCAGGTAAAAGGCAAGATGGAAACACGATCAGACTGCTACAGGCACCAATGGAGTTGGAATTCTGCAATGACTGCTAAAGAGGGGAACAGGGTGTTTATGAGAATGTCAGTTCTATACTCTAGTAATCTGAACTCAATACAGCAGAAAATATACTGTGTGTGTATGTAGAAGATTCAAGGAAACCATGTCAGTATTCGGATAAAGTGGTCGATTTTTTACAAGACCTTTGCTACCAGATCCACCCAGCGGTACTTTACTGTTTACAGACTGACATACCTTAAAGCATTTAGCAGTGATTCAACTGTCCCCTTGCGCTGTTCCTTTAGCAACTTGATGGAGCCTTTCATCTGAAATGGAATACATTTTCAAAATCAGGCAATTTCTTCATAAAATAAAATAAATAACAATAAAAGATGTGTGATTCTATCATAACAAATTTACCATGAAATCTGTGACACTATTTCATTATGAATCAACCGTGAAAGCTGTGATTTCTTTTAATTCAAGTTCGCCAGCTGTAAAATTCTGGTTGTTCATCGACTTTTAGTCTTGTTCCAAAATTTGCATGCATATTCATGTTTACAGATGTTGCCTGCTAGCCTTTGAGGCAGATGTACTCCAACTTTGAAGGAAACACCCCTAATTTACTGACTTGTATGATAGGATTTGGGGGGAAGAGTGGGTTATGCTTTTTTTCCACCCAAAATGGGACCATGGTACCCACATGAAAATTTGATAACTTAAATATTAAGACAACATACTCAGACTTCATAAATCAAAATACTTTGGTCACATTAAAGATTAGAAAGTTTTAGAGAACAATTTGGAACAATAGACATAGAGACACCAGTGAAGTGAAAATACATGAGACATAGAAACAGACAAGAGACTGTAAGTCTTCTTTGGTTAACAATTTTTGGAATGATTGGCAGCTGGAAATTGCAAAGAGTAGGTCATGAGCAAAGCATAAACTCCATAGATCCAGGGACGTTTTCTTCCTATGCATCCATCCTTAAAAGGCTGCAGACCTTCTGTGCTGCGGTTTACATCTAGGCTGTACTATTTGTGCTTTACAGGCCAACGTCTGATTTCTGAAAATCCCAAGTTAGTCACCTTTTACAACATGCAAGGTATGGAACTGTGGGTATATTCTCTACCACCCCAGCCCTCCCTCCCGCAAATGGGGTCCCAGAACCCACAGGGACTCCACAGACAAGAGGCAGGGGTCAAACAAGGATCTCTGCAGACTGCGATTGTGAACCAAACAACAGTCTGTGAAGCAAACCCACATCATTTAGTGTGTGAGGCAAACAACTTAACCATAGGGACCTACTATAAAAATGAAAACCTTTTCCAATGCATGCTCAATGTAAGACATACCAACCCCTCAGAACATATCTAATTGTGATACACCCCTCTTCGAAAGAGGAATGAAGAATAAGAAGACATACGGCAACTTACCTCTATCCCTGAATTTTTAGCAAAAGCACCAATGGGATGGACATGGTCATAGAGAATGATCACACCGACCATCACCCTTAAACAGAACAGCTGGGTCTCCTCTTTTATTCTTGATCTGTATTGACTGAAACAGACAAGTAATCAAGCTTGGTGAATATGGAACGAGTTGGGACAAAGCATGCATTTCCTAATCTCAGTGATCTCCCCTGGTCCTTATATGAGTTTAGTTAATAGAATAAGATGATACATGGCACAGATATGTGGTCATGTATCATGACTAACCGTATGGTCATGTATCCCGACTGAATGTGTGGTCGTGTATCAAGACATAACTGTGCAGTCCCGTATCATGACTGACTGTGGTCCCGTATCATGACTGTGTGATCATGCACCAAGACTGTGTGATCATGCACCATTACTGACTGTGTGATCATGCACCGTGACTGACTGTGTGATCATGCACCGTGACTGACTGTGTGATCATGCACCGTGACTGACTGTGTGATCATGTACCAAGACTAACTGTGTGGTCATGCACCATGACTGACTGTGTGATCATGTACCAAGACTAACTGTGTGGTCATGCACCATGACTAACTGTGTGATCATGCACCATGACTGACTGTGTGATCATGCACTGTGACTAACTGTGTGATCATGCACTGTGACTGACTGTGTGGTCATGCACCAAGACTGACTGTGTGGTCATGCACCATGACTAACTGTGTGATCATGCACCGTGACTGACTGTGTGATCATGCACCGTGACTCACTGTGATCATGCACCATGACTGACTGTTGGTCATGTACCATGACTAACCGTGCGGTCATGTACCATGACTAACCGTGTATAGTTCGCACCTGCACAGAATTTAGGTCTAGATGAAAGATAATCCTTAAAAGTAGCATTTAATTCGTTTTCTTGTGAACTATTTGGAATATCTAAATCTAAGTTGTTGTCACTAATCTCCCGTAGCCTCAATGAGGCCATGGTATGAGTAGCCCAAAGCACAGTTATATTTAGACACTGAGGAATAATTTCTTGTAACACTTCCTTCTGTTTGTTTCCTAATTACTCTCGTTAAATATTTTTTAAATATTTCAACCCTACGCTTAAAAAAATTTCATGACATTTTTCAGGGAATTCCCACGGATCATGACCCCATTTTTTTTAAACATTTCCAGATGGAAAGGATTAAACAGTTGTTGAAGATCACATGATTCATCCTTTATGTTCTATGTTATGAACGGAGCATAATGAAAATTCTAATTTTGTCTCAACTTGTTCAGATGTATAAAACACTGACACAGCCACAAGAGGCTGCCTAAATATAACTGTTTTATGTTGGTGAAGGGGTTTCTGGGATTTATTCTCATTCAAGATTTCTACTTCAGCGATGGGTTGTCTTCTTCTTCGCATTCACCAGCTGTACACTCTGGCGGAAAGTTCTGGTTGCTCGTCCACTACTGAACTGCAGTCCTGCTCCAGAACCTGAGTGTTGCGTGTGCATCAGTTTTACAGATCTCATTCTCTTTAATACAGACTGTTGGTTCCTTGCCTCTCCGGCAGATGCACTCCGACTTCAAAGGAAGCTCCCCAATTAGTCGACTCTTACGACATGCTTTTGGGGAGGCAGTGGGTCTATTCTTGTTTTCCCCGCAATGGGGCCCCGGAACCCACACGGGGGACCGATGGGTTGTAATTATGGAAGGAACATTTTAAAAAAGAACAGTTTTTCATATAAATTAAAACAAAAGTGGTGTATCCGTGACCGTAAACATACTCTGATCCCAAAATTTGATCTCAAATAGAGGTTTGGGATGTCTGTACTATAGATAAACAGATAAATATGGTTCAACAGCTCTTATTGTCACTGGCGTGTGAAATGTAAGCATTCATATATTCTAGGATAAGACAACCGAGGTTAGATGGCCAGTTTCCTCCCTTGCGACCTTTCCGAAACACGGAGTGAAGCAAGGTAAGCACATCTATGCTGTCTTCGAGGCTGAGATAGGAAAGATTATAATTAGCTATTCATGAATAAAATCAGCAAGGGTACCTTACAGTAGCTGCTGCACTGCAGGACTGAGCACACATGGGAATACCCAATGTGTAGTGACGCATACTGTGATAACATTTCTTTCCAGACAGTTCTGCAAATGTCTCGTTACCAATATTAAATCTGCACTAAACAGATTTTTTTTTTTTCATAACTTTTTTTGGGGATCAAGTTGAGAGCCCAGCACTAAAAAAGGTACCCGGTAATGTACTAGGAAATAAAAGAAGTAACATGACATTGACCACATCGATCATCAAGCTCTGACTAATCTTTGAAAATACAGGTTGAGCCGTACATGCCTGATGCTACAAAGATGTGAAAAGGGCCGCTCATTTACTTTACTCTACTGGTACCCATTCTATAGTTGCAACAACAAGACGCAAGGATGTTAATTATAAAAAATTACAACAGCAAGATGTGTCTGTCTACAGGAGTGATCAAAATGAGATAAAATTCGGAATGAGGTCATTTTGTTGACAGAACCATTCCTAAACTTCATATACAAAAAGGAAATAAAATTGTTAACCCACTTACAAAAGAAAGCATTGTGATGCCATACTACTCAAGGCACAAAAGAAAAGGATGCAGAGCACAAGGCAGGCAGAGAACAAGAGGGAAAGATAACATCATTAAACTAAAACAGCACAATGTGTCCATGGCTGAGGCGGCCAGAAGAGCAAGAAGCAAAGCCATATCCCTCTCGACACTCAAAGCAGCAAAAGAGTAAGTGAAGAAGAAGGTTCTACAGTCTGGGACAACCTCAGGGCGGCACTCGTCAGACAAAAATCTGGCTATCTCTGATGTCTCTCCCCCTCCCCCAGAAGACAAGTGGCTCTAGGCACTATGCAAATGCATCTCTGCCGTATTACGGATAAGAAAATATTACTCACGTATTTTCAATCATGATTCGACAAATATTGGCCATCATTTTCAGGCAGTCTGTTGTCTGCTCAACCGGCAGATGTTTATTCTGATAAAAAAATAAACAAGCATTAACTACTTATAATATAGTAATAGCATCTTTATCCCTACTTTATGTTATTAGTGCCAAACATGGACAATGAATATGGCACTAGAACAGAAAAAAACTACATCTTAAATGAGCTGCCTCCGCAAGGTCACTAACAACACTAGACAAGACAGGGTTACGAACACCAGCATTAGAGAGAAAGTTGGAATATGCCTGAATTATACTGACAAACAAAGAATGAAATGGTTCAGCCATCTAGTGAGAATGCAGCCAGACCAAACTGCATATGAGACTTTTTACAGTGGAACATCTGGGAGGAAGGCGAGAGGAAGACCTGGTATCAGTGAGACGACAAAAGAAGCAGAAGAATAAGAGCATAATAAAGGCCACCAAAAGTATTTGATAGTACTATTAATTAGGGCTGTACCGAATATTCGCTTCGTATTCCCTTCGGGGCCTAATAACTATTCGATATTCGGCCAAATAGTTGCGGTCGGGCCGAATACGAATAGTGGTTACCTTACACCCCTTTCTGGACTGGTTGAAAATGAACATATCAAGATTTCCCACCTTGGTTCATACTGTCAAGCGTTACTTTGTGCACCACCTACGAGCGTACCAAATGAACATCTGTTTAGTACAGCTGGAAATTCCTTCAGTGAGACAAGAAGCTGCCTTAATGCTGACAACATGGAACGATTGTGTGTGTGTGTGTGTGTTTTTTAAAGCTAATGCTTTCTTGCTTGCTACATAATCCAGTTTCAACATATGGCTGTGAGTCCTGGACAATCGTAGGCAGGCCAAACAATTTCTTGAGGCCTCAGAGATGTGGTTTTACAGAACAATGCTTAAAATACCTTGGACAGAAAAAAAAAGAAAGCAACCAAGAGGTTTTGAAAGAGGCGGGAGCCTGAAGACAACTACTCACAGACATCAAAAGAAGACAGCCATCATTTTTCGGCCATGTTATTAGATGAGGGAAAATGGAATATGTGGTGACCACTGGAAAGATCTGTGGAAGGAGGGATAGAGGAAGACAACGAGAGAAGATTCTTGACAGTCTTGTTGCATGGCATGGAGGTGTGTCAGCACACGAACTAATACATGCTGCAGGAGATCGCAGATTGTGGCAAGGCATAATCGCCCATGCCAGTCAGCAAAGCACCTGATGATGATGATTCACTATTCGTATTCGACCGAACAGTGAAAATCACTATTCGGTACAGCTCTACTATTAATACTGATTTAAGAATCAATATCACAGCACATTGGTCTATCCATAAATGTTCAGTCTCCACCAGAAAATGTCCTAAATAAAATTTAGATGCTAGTTCTTCCAGGCAGTCTAGACCAGGATTAGAAAAATACACATCACAGAGACATAATCATAAACACTGAGGCATTGGGGAAAACAGGTATCACAATGGCTTTCTCAATGCTCAGTCTCTGCAGGTTCAGATAGCTAGGACATACCTAGAGGATGTTAGCAGTCTGTTCATGGCATCAGGCTCCAGCATGTTCCAGACAGTATATCCAGGTCAGTCGATGTAATAATGGAGTGCTGATGCCTGCTATCAGATGTCCACTGACTTACACTCAGGCATGTCTCAGACAGTATATCCAGGTCAGTCGATGTAATAATGGAGTGCTGATGCCTGCTATCAGATGTCCACTGACTTACACTCAGGCATGTCTCAGACAGTATATCCAGGTCAGTCGATGTAATAATGAAGTGCTGATGCCTGCTATCTGATGTCCACTGCCTTATACTCTGGCATGTCTCAGACAGTATATCCAGGTCAGTCGATGTAATAATGGAGTGCTGATGCCTGCTATCAGATGTCCACTGACTTACACTCAGGCATGTCTCAGACAGTATATCCAGGTCAGTCGATGTAATAATGGAGTGCTGATGCCTGCTATCAGATGTCCACTGCCTTACACTCAGGCATGTCTCAGACAGTATATCCAGGTCAGTCAATGTAATAATGGAGTGCTGATGCCTGCTATCTGATGTCCACTGCCTTACACTCTGGCATGTCTCAGACAGTATATCCAGGTCAGTCGATGTAATAATGGATCGTGCTGATGCCTGCTATCAGATGTCCACTGACTTACACTCAGGCATTGTCTCAGACAGTATATCCGGTCAGTCGATGTAATAATGAAGTGCTGATGCCTGCTATCTGATGTCCACTGCCTTACACTCTGGCATGTCTCAGACAGTATATCCAGGTCAGTCGATGTAATAATGGAGTGCTGATGCCTGCCTATCAGATTTCCACTGACTTACACTCAGAGGCTGTCTTCAGGACCAGTATATCCAGGTCAGTTCGATGTAATACTGGTTTAGTGCTGATTGCCTGTTATCAGATGTCCATGCCTTACACTCAGGCATGTCTCAGACAGTATATCCAGGTCAGTCGATGTAATAATGGAGTGCTGATGCCTGCTATCAGATGTCCACTGCCTTACATTCTGGCATGTCTCAGACAGTATATCCATGTTAGTCCATGTAATAATGAAATACTAACGCCTGCTATCAGATGTCCACTGCCTTGCACTCTGGCATGTCTCAGACAGTATATCCATGTCAGTCGATGTAATAATGAAGTGCTGATGCCTGCTATCTGATGTCCACTGCCTTACACTCTGGCATGTCTCAGACAGTATATCCATGTCAGTCGATGTAATAATGAAGTGCTGATGCCTGCTATCTGATGTCCACTGCCTTACACTCTGGCATGTCTCAGACAGTATATCCATGTCAGTCGATGTAATAATGAAGTGCTGATGCCTGCTATCTGCTGTCCACTGCCTTACACTCTGGCATGTCTCAGACAGTATATCCAGGTCAGTCGATGTAATAATGGAGTGCTGATGCCTGCTATCAGATGTCCACTGCCTTTCACTCTGGCATGTCTCAGACAGTATATCCACGTTAGCCTCTTTAATAATGAAGTACTAACGCCTGCTACCAGATGTCCACTGCAGTGGGAAAAAAGGGTGTTAAAGTGTCACATTGCTGGTGCTCATAGTGGTAAGATGGCTTGTGTACTTTAATGATTCTCAGAACTATTCTAGCAGGTTCAACCATGTTGGACAGATTTTGAGAAGGGTCTGACCAAATTAGCATCCATGTTCCCCCCAGGTTGGGATTGAGCAAGGAGCTGATAACTTAATATTGAAAAAAAAAAAGTGAAAACACTGCACCGGTGGAAAGATATGGGATACCATTGGCAGAAAAAAACAGTGGCAAACATAGAGATGATCTACAAATGCTGCTATATGTCAACAGTGATATGAAGAGTATACACAAGGTGACTAAAAAGCTTTCTGCTTATTTTCAAATACCTAAAAATTATTTATGGTAATTTGTATCTCACATTTTATGTGTTCGATCCTAATGTACGAGAATGTAATTTGTAAATGTAATCTGCTTGAATCCATGTTTCAGCCTCATTAGTCTCTGTGAAATTTGAAGCCCACAAACAAGGCTGGATGTCTTCTCAACCTGTGAGGGGGGAGGGGGGGGGGGGCAGTGTTCCCAGCTAGTGACATGCAGGGAGGCACAAGGCAAGGGGAGGAGCAGGAGGGGCGGGGGAGGGCACGGTTTGGAAATCTAGCAGTTTCAACCATGTTGTTTTTTTTGAATGCAAAATTAGATCATCTGGTGTCCATTATATTGAATTTGTGAAACTCTTCACCGGTTTTGGATACCTTGGCAGAAAAAAACAGTGGCAACATAGAGCATGATCTTTTTTGTCAACTGGATTCTATACACAGTCTGGTTTCCAGAACCGTAGTTATGTTTTGTGTTTATGTGTTCGGTCCTAACATACAGATTATTTTACTGCTATCTGACCTTTGTGTCAACATATCACTGTCCTGTCGCGTGCCTAATGTTGTTTTGAAGGAAATCTGGTGTCCATTTCTCCTTCATTCTTTTTTCTGGAAACCAGAACAGTGTTGTGTGCACTCAGAGCTTTGTGTCCATAATTTTGTAATTGTGTTCTGATTCGTTGAGTCTTTGGCTCGTATTGGTCCTAAGGGATTCCCCATGGCCCATATACGATCGCTTATCTTCTCGGAGCTAGGGCAACTCAAGTAATGGGCACTACAAAATATGTCAATATCTAATATATAGATATATGAGTAATAAAATAATAAAATAAAAAAAAAATACTACAAATCTAGGCATCTTGGCTGAACCAACCCCCAACTACTTACTAAAGAAAAGCCCCCAGGTTATGAAGATAATTCATGATCATAACCATGTTAACACATCTACTGAAGAGACACCATACATACACAACTGCTAAACACTTAAAAAGGTGAAATAGAGACACCTAAGTCAGCCATGAAAATGAATGTATATAAATCAAAATAAATTAGATATAAAAAGTGAGACAATTGCAGATCTCAGGAAATCATGTCCAAATCACTAGGGACTACACAGACAGAAGGCCTGGGAGATGAATCCCTTTTATCCTGGACACAGGAGCTGTAGGA